TAACACTTTCTCGAGACTTCTAAAAGTATTCTGCTTTTATTTATTTATTTTTTTTTATTCACTGATTAATTTTCTGTCACGCAAGGAACGAAGAAAATGATGTAAAGTTTAAAAGATTTAAAAAAAGGTTATGTTAGCAGGAGAGAGTTCAGTAGCAAGTGAAACAATATAAAGTAGTGTTTCGAGACTAAAGGGATTAAAAAACCGGAAAATGTATGGCAACACGTAACACTTTCTCGAGACTTTCTGCTTTTAATTTCTAAAAGTAAGTTTCTCTTTTAATTTCTGCTTTTAATTACTAAAAGTATTCTGCTTTTAATTTCATTTTTTTTTTTTTTTTTTTTTTTGATTTCACTGATTAATTTTCTGTCACTCAAGTACGAAGAAAACGATGTACAATAATAAAGTTTAAAAGATTTAAAAAAAAAGGGTTATGTTAGCAGGAATGAGTTCAATAGCAGATCGGTAAGATTTCTAACTGAGTTTTGTTTTTAAATTTGTAAAATATCCATGAGTATTTTAGTAGTAGTATTTATAGTTTCGAATAATACAGCCTGTGTTTGGAACAAAAACACGTAAAAAATTATTTATTAATTTAGTTATATTAAATACTAGTATATTATATGAAATCTTTACTTATTCAAAGACATAAATAATTAGAAACCACTAATTAGGAACTAGAGTCTACATGAAATATTTCATTATTAGCCTTACAAAAAGTATTTTGGTAATTGTAATAAGTACGCTAGCCTATCTGTCTCAAGAACAAATGAGAAAAAGTGACTAAATATCGCTCTTCATTTTCCTTTCATTTTTCTACCCGTTTTCATTTCTCTTTTTTGCACACATCCAAACCTATAACCAGGTATATGTTCATGCAGATAGCACCAATACTCTCTTTAAAGTAATGTACTTGTGGACGAAGAGATAAAATTAAATTTAAAAGCGAAAGCCGTGTGTCTGGAGTTCATTTTTCTCTTTATTATGTAATTTGTGAAGTTCTTGCAGTCAAGTATTGATCTCGAAGCTTCTGCATTCAAACCAGCTTACATTACAGCTCTTCTGCATACCCTCCAGCTTACATTTACTTTTGCTTTCACCGTTGCTGATTTTTTTTATATACATTCTTCGAACTTAGGCCTTCTTCTGCTCCTTATCATTTCGCTTTTCAATATAGCAATTCATAGCACTTCCATTTCCTTCATTTTCCCTCTGCAGTATTTTGCCTCCGTTTCCAAACCAAAAGCCAAAAATTATTTAAAGACACCGCCTTAATATAAATCATATTATCCATTTTCTTCTTAATTTAATATTATTCAGTTTTATAATAATTTTATATTTTGCATCAAATATCTTACTTAGGCTTTTTACAATCGTAAGGTTTATCCTAAGTTTTTAACAGTTAGTTTTGAATTAAAGCTACTTTCCTATCCTTCTTACTTTCAGCTTACAGTTTTCTGCCAGAACGTGCTTTCGGGATCGCGATTAAATGCAAATGAAGGAAGAGCAAGTATTTAAAGTTGAAGTTCTACTGACTTCGTTAGAGAGCCAGGAATTCTGACAAGCGCGCGTTTGCCTTTTAGGCTATACCAGGGCTGGCCAAGCTTCTTGTCAGTAAGAGCCGCACGTTTGAATTCGGGAATGTTCGAGAGCCGCATCTAGATTTCCTAAAAGCCACAAGTTCATATTTTCATCATTATAGAAGTAGTGGAGGAGGTTTTAAATAGAAAGAAATCCCTGATAACGTTGTAAAAATGTCTAAATTAATTAATTACTTCTTTATATTTTATATCCACGAGCCGCACAAATTGCCTTCGAGAGCCATATCAGGCTCGCGAGCCGCACTTTGGCCACCCCTGGGCTATACTCTGTTTAAGCTATTTCTACGCTCGACCGTACCTTAGGCCCTTGATAGTTTCGCCGTTTAGTTAGCGTTAAGGGACCAACTCCTGTATATTTGTGATAGCTTCGGCTATATATATATATGTATGTAAGATTTAAAAAAAAATGCAAATCAAAATTATGATTTAAAATGCCTCTTAATTGCTCATTTTTAATTTGGGTGCTTTGTCTCTAGTAATAACTTTCTCTAAACTGCGTCATATCTGAAAACGTATTCCGCATTATGTCATCTTGAAACTTCTGCATAGCCTATAAGTTTCAACCAATCAGATTAACGAAAAATTTTACTATAACCATTGTTGCAATCCTACCCCACCCTCTTTCTCTGCCTATGCTTGCTAGCCGAAAGAAGTTTTCTGCTTTTCTCCTTTGGTTACAAAAGTAATGCGCCATCATCAAATTTGTGGGGTTCAAATTGGCCCCCATTGTGAAGTGCAACCAGTAATAAAGATATATTTGGAACATCAAGTGATTTTTGTGATTCTTCAAAAGTTCCCGACTGCCAAACTAAATTTTATCATCATATATATATATATAAAGCCCAAGTAGAGGCTTTTATGTACGTCCTGAGAGAGGACCATCTGTTAAATGTATTTTGAATAATAAAAGGTAATTAACCCTTCGTACGTTTACGTTTCTATCTTTCTGAACTATGCGATTATTCGCTTCCCAGTTCTTAAGGTTCCACACATTTAGCTGTAAATTCTAGGTTGGAACATTACACTGTTTTATCAAAAATAACTCGAACGTCATAAAGAATCGTTCGAACTTTCAAATGAAGGAACATGAAATAAACAGTTCAAACTGCTTAGTGGTGTGTTTTATACTGCTAACACAGAAACTATTTCTCGTTTGATTCCCTTCAATTCTGTTTTCTTAAAATTAAAAATATACATATATGATACTAATTTAGTTTAGATAGGCAGAATCTAGATAGGCAGATAGGCCTATATGAATATTACTTTTAACAATTTTTGTAGTTCATCTTGCCTTTGGGGGGATCACAAAAACGTTTTAAGTTGCAACAGAGTAAGTCACGAGCAAAATTCGAAGTTATACAAAGCATACGAATAATTTGCCTTCAACAGATTCATGAAACTCGGGGGGGGGATGCATTATTTTCCGAATGTAAGGCCGGAATGCGATATTTAGAATGTAATTTGAAATTATATTCTTTGGAGAATGAGCTGTTCTAGTGCATCAAGTATTGAAAACTTTAAATTTTATTCAAATATTAAAAGTAACGAAAAATCTAGGAATCTGTCGATGAAATTCAACTATATTATCTAATTATTTCTATTATGAATGAAACAAAATTCGTGTGGAGAGAATATGTGGAAGAGTTTGAAAGTAACACTGAGGGGTTTGTGTGAAATTTTATTTCAAAAAATGAATTTAATTGATACGTATTACAATAAATATATTAAGCAGCTTACAACTATTTTATTGGGAATTTTATGATCTCTTATTAAATAAAACTAATTTTTAGGGTCATTCATTTATCAGATTTTGATTATGCAGCGATGATAATTTATTTTGGACATTGATCAAATTGCATTGTTAATTTTTAAATGTACCTGCAAATTACAAACACATTTAGATTTTTCACGTGGTTTGTTATTTTAACATAAATATCCTTTCCCACTTTAAAATCTGATGCGAAGGTATAAAAAAATTAAAAATAAGGTAAACAAACGTGTAAATAAGTAGTAATGGACGTTACTCAGTTCTATACCAATTAATCTGAAACTTTATAGTTTGACTACACATTTAACTAAACAATGTTCTCGCAACTGAATTATTTATGTTTTTAATTATTATTATCATCATTAATATTATATCATGACTTAATTAATACGAAGTATGTTCTTGGCATATTCCACAGTGTTTATTAGAATGTAGCCAGAGTGACACAAACACGTAACTTATCTTTAAAAAAACGCATTCTCTTTCTGTGCTCAGATTTTAATATTCTCATTAAGACAAGTAATGAGAATAATTAGAATAATTAATACAAGTAATGGTAATAATCATTCCATTAATTAATTAATGAATTAATGAGAATAATTAATACAAGTAATGGTAATAATCATTCGGACACGTATGACGATGAAAATGGATGTATAATTTCAATGAGATCTTAAGATAGTGACGTCGCTGTCAGGGCGATGCTGAATTAGTGAAGAAATTTTCCTTTCGTGATGGAAAGTTTGATAGCTATTCACGGTACGATTAATGTTTTTTAGTCTTTCTCATTTCGAAGCAAAAAAGAAAGAGTAGACCAAACATTGTTGTAAGTGTTGAACTTCCCCACAGCTTGGCTCAAAATAAAATAAATTAATGACCCCAGGTCAAATGTACAGTAGCATTTTTAGTGAAAAGAGTAGGATATTTTTTTCCAGAAAATTTCATACAAGCTCAAATTAAAATATTTCAGTGGTTTTGTGGTAAATATGTATTAGCACTTTGTTCCGAGCTTTGTTTTGAATGGCATAAAATGCATACTGAAATTCGAAAATTTCACAATACATCTTGTGGGCTTCGGGAGACAGCGTCTTGGAAACGCTTCACTATCCTTTGACAAAGGACGCGCACGAATAATAATTGAAAAATTATAATATACGGATCAGAGAAAACCATGGGTATGAAAGCAATACAAGCAAAAACAAGAACGATTATGGCGTTCAGAACTATGAAAATTTATCTGAATTTGTATGGTATTTAAATTTTTTTTTATATACTAATGCAAGTTAAAAATTCTTGGTTACAGATAGAAAGGTAACTTCTAGCCTCGCCTGTACTTCATTTAAGAGTAAAAAGTATGTTTTCATAATTTTATTATACAGAAAGTGAGGAAAGGCTATATAGCTGAAAAAACTCTCTAGCCGTCTTATTGTCATTTGTCGAACCAAACCCATTTACGTTTTTTACTCTATCTTTTCGGTTATTCAACCAGCGTGAAGTTTTTACAACGGTCGTAAATGCGTAGGAGCTGCCCGCCAATCAACATTAGATGGCTGCCCACTTAACAATATTCTCACCGTATGATAGACGAAGACAGAAGGTCACATAAGAAGAACATCGTTTTTAAAACTGATTTCCACAACGTAAAACGTGAAGTAAAAGCTGCTCGCTTTCTATTTGTACTTTCACTGGGGTAATGTGACTTTTAACTTCGCTGATATTGTAATCAACTCGTCTGCAAAGATGATGCTCGCTACTTATTTCCAAAAGGTAAGATTAAGGCACTTACGAATATTCTCTTTAGTATCCTCTTTCTTTTTTATAAGAAGACATACTTATCGGTTTAAGTTAAGTAACACTCGCATTATTTTTGTTATTTTAGCAGTTTTTTTATGTCAGAATTGAACTGAAAGTTAGCCAATTCTTAGAACACAAATATTGGATTAATGGAAACTAGTAAACATTTTAATTCGCTTTCTGTGCTGTCTTGAATATATTTAGTTAAAATGGTGACTTGTTATTTTAATTTGTTTTCTAGGGGATGATCTGCATTATAAGCCATAATTAATACGGCGATTTTGCATTACTTGAATATCTTTAAATTTAAAGTTGATAAAATTCCCTCTGATAAAAGCATTAATCATAATGGCATACATTCTTTTTTATTTTGTATTATTCTTAATTCTACAAATTCATTTCCTTCTGAATATATTAATATTTATGAAGTAATATGAGAACAATTGTATACGTAAAAGTCGTGAAGTAAGAAAATTGTACTTCAAAATATTATTTTCTAGTAAGCCTCAAAGATATATTACAAATGTAAAAGATGAATGAAAAATCTCAGGTCTATAAGAATAACTATTGCCTTTCTTTTGTTGATTTGGAATAATATTTAACGAGCACCTCATTAGCATTGGATTTTGCGAATCTTTTTTCTTCTTGGAAACATTTTTGATTTAGGAGACACACTTTTTTTTTTCTGAACTGCTTTAAGTTCAGAGTTCAGAAGTAGCTAATTGATATAGAAATGAGGTACTCAATAAAATATAATAAAGCAGAATTTTAGTGTGTAAGAGGAAGCTAGCTCATTAAAGCATTTTATCTTTTACTTAGACCTTAAATCAATCAGACATTAATTTTTTACTACTTTATTTGGCATATTTCCTAATCAGTAATACTTGCCACCAGCTTATTACTTTTAATATGTAAAATAGGTGTCTGTTACATTCGTATCATAATTATATACTGACTTCTATTTTTCATGATTTCCGTGCACTTCTAAAAGTACCTTCTTGTATACTGAGCACATTTGAAATCGAACCCAAATCCTACGTTGTTAACAGTTGTTATAAGGGATTTCTCCCGCCTTCCTAGCGTGCCTTTGTAGTGTAGTGGTTCTGCACGCTGGGCCGGTATTCCAGAGGTCCGTGGTTAGATTCCCGGCGAAGGCGTTTGCTCATTTTTCATCTTGCCTGCTTCCAAAATACCTAATGTCTCTATAGTGGCGCCCGAACTAAAAGGGTGTTGGATGATGATTCTCCTCTCCCAGGATTTGGCGATTAGGTCCCCTGAAAACCCTAGTCGCACTTTAAAAGGGGGATTATATAAGGTATTTCTCACGCCTTCCCAGCGTGCCTTCGTGGTGTAGTGGTGTGCTGCACGCTGGGCCGGTATTCCAGAGGTCCGTAGTTCAATTCCCGGCAAAGGCGATTGCTCATTTTTCATCTTGCTTGCTTCCAAAATACCTAATGTGTCTACAATGTCACAATCGGAAAACAAGAAATTGGTTTAAAAGTATGCAAATGTTTAAACTTATTTTGTCCTTCTTTGTTTCTAGTGAAAACTCATGTCAGATTAGATCTAGAAATGCTATGATCTCTTCATTAGATTGAGTTGTTTGAGCATGGCAAAGTATACGAGCGCTATTTGCTATTGCTAGGAAAAAGATGCCTTCCCGGAGGACTTTCTAAGGAAAACCGGCTTGTATTTGCATTAACATGAGGAAAACCAACCAAGCCAGCCACTCGCCAGGGATGGAACTGAGACGAACTCTCAGCAATCATCGGTCTTAACCACTCGGCCACTGATAAGCCCGGCATTCATTGAAGACCATAAGGAAAACAGAATAGAGTCAACCATTTTAAATCAGAAGCTGATTGCTTCTGTTACATTGGTTAATAAAGAAGCTAACACTATTTTATAGTAGGGAGCTTTGTACGTGTTCATATTACGTTCTTTAATTTTTCTGTACATAGCCCTAAAATTAGAGTTTTACATTTTTTAACTCAATTAAAATGTACAAATGAATACCAAAATATAGATCTTGTGTAAAAAAGCATGTTATCCATGCGTAGAGATTCAAGTAGAATAAGTCAATTAAAAGATTTTTAGAGCAAGTTAAAAGATATATAAAAAAGAAATTACTACAAATGATAAATTAATTTCGAATAACTTATGCATGATATATTCTGAAATAAAATTACTCACACAGAATGTGCTGAGTTCTACAGTTTGCGATTATTTTAATGCCCTAAATAAGCAGACTAAGCAAAATTATATATTCTACAGTTGTTATGCCGGTGAGTTAAACATTACTTACAAAGAAGAGTGTATGTAGGTTATTTCTTCTGAAAATAGAATAAACTTATTAAAACATGTAGTACGGGAAAATACCCATAATTCATTTTCTGAGGTCGAATACCTTGAGAACGTTTTCTCCAGCAGTCAGTCATGATGAAGAATTAGTTGCAGAACATTCCATAAACTAATTTCGTAGTGCCACAGCATTATTAATAATTCACGAGGACTTATTCTTGTATGATGGTCAACTAATGAAGCTTACATCTAACATGAAAAATGATACTTTATGATTTTCTACTCTATTTTTTCCGTTTATTACTTTAGTTCATTGCACTTGGATGGTTTTACGGTTTAAATGCTGTCCACTTATTTAGATACTGAATTTTTATGTTTTGATATTAGAAACATCTTAAATGGAGTCTTTCCAAAAATTTTGGACCGTTACGTTACCTTAGTTATCATGGAGATGTCAGCCACTCCCTCCTCAGATAGTACCATTGCGCAAAACATAAGGTGTTTATTTTACCTACCAAATGCCTCGCGCGAAACAAATTCTCAAAGTTCTCTCATTCAGCAAAACGTCAGACTTTTAATTTATCTTTCGAAGTAATTCGATCTGCAACTGCTTTATAAACAGAGATTTAAAAGCAATAAACGCGTTCTTAATAGTAGTTTAAAGCTTTAATTTTTGGTAACATGTCCAATTAATAAAAATTAATTGTAATATCATAAGTAATAAAAATTTCTTTCTATTGGAATATAACGTATAAGTTCACATATCCCCCCCACAGTTTTTAGAAAGAGCGAGGAAAATATATGAATGAATGTAGCATTACTTACCTGGTGCAGAATCGTTCGAATTTTCGCAAAATAATTTCATGAAAGGATTAAAAATGGTTTAAATTATTATTTCTACTTGTATGACTGACTACCTGAACTCAAATATCAAGTGTTTAACTTGAGATGTTATTTGATTAAAATGGCGACTGGCTTCCAAAAGCTAAGCACTTGACAATAAAATAAACAAAAATGGAAAAGTAAAGCTTTAATTAACACCAAATTGCACTTAAGGGTTAGATATGTCTTTATACATGAAAGAAAACAACCATTATGTACAAAGATGAAAACAATATTTAATTTTCGTAAATTATATTATGACATCACATTTGGGTAATTAATAAATTGATGTTCAAAGCAAAAAAACATTAATAAGGTATGCGAACATCCCGGACCTTCACAAACTTCTCAGCGATTGGTTTCTCATTATTCCTCTGAGAGGATCAACCGCCGCTGATGCTAACAATAACCATTCCTCCATTAGGGCAGTTTCCAATTCCCTGAGACTCGGAGAAGGTAATGGTGCAGAGGCAGCATGCCCGAGAGCATCTCAAAGATTTTCAATGGGATTAAGACTAGGAGAAAACGGTGGCCATTCCATACGGGAAATGCCCTCACTCTCCTGGTACACATTAACCATAACGGTTCGAAGGGGAAGGCATTATCATACATAAAGAGAAATCATGATCAACTGCTGTAGCGTAGAATCTTACGATGGGCAGTAGGATTTCATCAAGATAACGCGCAACTGTTATTGAACCGTCTTGTGAAATGTGCAGCTTTGTGCGAGATCGCTCTGAAATTCCAACCCACAGCATGATTAAGACACAATAACACGCCGAATAAATACTGATTCAGAAGTCAAACAACAAAAATCAGCGTTAATTCACAAAATTTTCACAGGACTAGTTTCGATGGTTTTACCGAACCATCATCTTCAGCTGCAAAACCGCAAATGAACAAGATAGAAATATGTTTAGATAAGATAAGAAAGGCCTGGACAAGAATAACAAGTGGCGCCTCTGTTGGCGAACCAGAACTAAACTAATTTCTCTAAAAGCCAAGGCAAATTGGTTGGAATTAGGATCGTTAAACTAGAACAAAGATTTTTATAATGTGAAATGCCTCTAGAAAATCCAGTTCTCCAATTGGATGTTTTTTGAATATTTTGGGCAGCAAAATTAAAGTGTGATTTTTCGGCCCACATGTTGAGCAACAAAGACTTCTGTTTTCCTTTTTTCTAACATATGCCTCATGTGCTTTGACGCGAAATTTCAAGGCTCTCTTATTTGGCCAATGTAAATTAAACCGCACTGGCAAGATCCTAAATACCCCAGGCATTCATATCCGGATGGGTCCTTGAGTATAGAAGTTGGAATTTTATTGATGGGAGAGGTAAACAACCCGAAAGTTAAATTTCTGCAAAATATTGCAACTTTATAGCTAATTGAGGAAAGAAGGGAATGACAACAGAATTTTTCCTAAAATAAGAGGGGGCTTTTAGGTGTTGAGAGAGAAATTTTTTAACGGCTTGATTAATAATGTTGGTGGAAAAGCCCCTGTCATAGCTATTGCTTTTAATAATTTAGTTCTCATCAAGGGCTTTGGAGGAGCAAACTTGAAGAGCACGGAAACATAGGAATAAAATGAAGCTAACTTTTGTTAGTCGATGACATGATTTAAAGTGTGGTGAAGGCAAACCGATTGAAGGTTTACGGTAAACTGTAGTACTGAAGTTGGATGTGTTACGTGTGACCAGAATGTCGAGAAACGGAAGAGAATTGCAAGTCTCAAGTTCAAAGTGACTGAATAGCGGATCAATAGAATTCATTTTGAAAGAACTCTATTAA